AGCCAGGATGGTCTCGATCTCCTGACCTCGTGATCCGCCCGTCTCGGCCTCCCAAAGTGCTGGGATTACAGGCTTGAGCCACCGCGCCCGGCGGATTGACATTTTTATGAGATTGAGTCTTCCCAACCGTGGACAAGGTTGACTCATATCTATTTAAATCTTCTTAATACCTGTACAAAACTTTAAATAATTTTATCCACAAAGATCTTGCACAGAAGTTTTACTGCATTTATATTCAGGCACTCTCATTTTTATGCTATTATAAATGATATTTTAAAATGTGTATATCTGTTGATGGCTGTGTGAAACCTCAGTTCTTAGTTTAAAAGAATTTAAACACGGGACACACAGCAAAAGAAGTGCAGCATAGAGTATTTATTGCAAAAGAAAAAATATTTTGAAAGGTAGGTGCAGAACAGGCAGTATACCGAGAGAGGGAGAGAATTCAGGGCAAGCTGCTTATAAGGATGAGACAGCAAAGACTGGCACTAGCGAGACTCCCTTTATGGAAGTCTGACATGATTATTCATGAGGTGGCAAGAGGTGTTACTAGTAAGCATGTTCTGGGTAGTCCTCTGGGTGTGGATGCTCAGTAGCTGTATATGCTTGTTCATATGTCACATGTCTCATTAGCATCTTCAATATCCAGGGGTGTGCTTTTTACTAATAAAATGAGCAACGGGTCAGTTTGAGGACAGGTAAAATCAAACTGCACATGCTGTCTACAGGGGAAATTCCCTACTGAGGATAGCCTTGCTTGAATGAGCTCAGTTACAATGCATATGCTAAGGTTTATTGTGTTGATTGTACAGTCACCACTGTTGCTGCCTTGATTACTTGGTCACTTCCTTGACTACCTCTCCTGCCTCATATTGATCTTACATCAAACAACTTTATGAACTTACCTAATTCTAATAAGTTATCCATAGATTCTCCTGGTTTTTCTATATGGAAAATCACATCATCCAGGAATAGTCACAGTTTTATTTCTTCCTTTGTAACTATTCTAACTCATATTTCTTTTTCTAGAAAACCGTAATAGATTTTCTAGTATTGAAACAACCTTACATTTCTGGAATAAACCTAGCTTTGTAATAGTGTTACCTTTTTTATGCATTGCTAAACAGCATGCTCATGGTTTGTTTTTTTTTGAGACGGAGTCTCGCTCTGTTGCCCAGGCTGGAGTGCAGTGGCTGGATCTCAGCTCACTGCAAGCTCCGCCTCCTCAGTGATCCAGCCCACCCTCGGCCCTCCAAAAAGTGCTGGATTACAGGCGTGAGCCACCGCCGCCTGGCCAACAGGTTTTTTTTTTTTTGAGATGGGAGTTTCGCTCTTGTTGCCCGAGGCTGGAGTGCAATGGCGCGATCTCGGTTCCACGAAACCTCTGCCTTCCGAGTTCAAGTGATTCTCCTTCGCCTCCCGAGTAGCTGGGATTACGGGCATGCGCCGCCACGATCGGCTAATTTTGTATTTGTAGTAGAGATGGGGTTTCTCCATGTTGGTCAGGCTGGTCTCGAACTCAGGTGATCTGCCCGCCTCGGCCTCCCAAAGTGCTGGGATTACAGGCGTGAGCCACTGCACCCGGCCTTTTTTTTTTTTTTTTTTTT